GAGAGAGAGAGAGAGAGAGAGAGAGAGAGAGAGAGAGAGAGAGTTGTGGAGGAAAATATATTTATCTTACGTAAAACTCCTTTGAGACAATCTTCGCGGTTATGGGAAGTAAAACGAGGGACGAGCAACGATCATTACGCCGATACGATCGAGGATAATATAATAATGCGATGGGGTCATTTACGACGACGACGAGTCGATAGGATATTCTCGGCAGAATCACGCTCGAAAACGACTCACGGGGAGCCAATCGGCGCGAAGTGTCATCGAATTGCAGCGGCACAAGATTTGGATTTCCTTCGTGATCGACTGCTGCCGACACGACGACGATCGATTCTGGCTTCAGTTGCCCTGTCAAGCGGGAGGGTAATGGTCTGTCACAGAAGGACATAAGATCGCGAATGGCGGCCTTATTGAAGGTGACAGATGCAGCAACGTGTGATGGTAAGAGTAAGAGGGCAACGTTGGACCATGGTCATTTATGAACCAGCTTGAGACTACGTTGTCCACAAACAGTCTCGACCAACATATACCAATAGATATAATTTCATGAAAAATATATATACCAGTGGAAAGAAAAGCAGATATAAGTGTGCACGAAAGTATCCGTTGAATAGCATGCGCTGTATGAAATGTAAATTAATTAACATCGGCAGCGCGGCACAATAGAGAAAAGTAAAATATAATGCGTCCAATTAGTTAACGCATAAAAAAGATATGAAAATTGTAGAAATTCTTTTAAACATGCACATGGGCAATAGTTAGGAAAAATCGAGATGAGAGAGGAAGAGCGAAGCTAACGTTAAAAAGACAAGGAATACTATTAAGATAATTCTTTACTGTTAACGTACATAATCCTATATTTGTTAGAGAAAAAACATTTCACCGCCGTCGTACCTTCTCCTTTCATTACGCATACGGCGTGTGCAGATGTTATGGCGAGAACACGCGTGGTACGTTTTAAAGCGCCGTTAAAAAGTTTTGCGAGGTTTGTTTCAACGTAGCCTGATGAAAGTCATTAACATTTCCACGTTTTTATTAGTTTAGCCAAGTAATATTCTAACACCTAGATACTATGACGGCGATACGTGCGCCTTTGGTACATGGGCTGCTCTCTTAAATTACTTTAATCTTTTTCTTTTTCCCATATAAATACATACACACACACATATATACATACAAATATACATATACAGGGTGTCCCACCACTACCGCATTATTTCTTAAGGATTTCTGAGGTAATTTGAAGAAAAATATCCTAATGCAAAAATGATTGATAATATTTTTCAAATTATAAACAATTAAAGTTGACCAATTATACTGGCTAAAGTACGCGCGCTCAGGTTATAAATGTTACACATTTAATATTTTCTTCAGAGATTTATAACTAATTTCATATCTTATGCAAATTCTCACTTATAATAAAGAAAGTTGCTACATATCGGTAAATCGATCAATTTTTCTTATAAACTACTAAGATAAATTAAATCAAATTAATACATATAATACATACGTTGTTGTATGTATATAACTTCCGTATTAATATTTGGAAAAGGGGCGACATGTGCATGCACCTGTACCACTGTGTGTTGGACCTTACCTGAGCGCGCGTATTTTAGCCAGTATAATTAATCAACGTTAATCGTTTATAATTTGAAAAGTATTATAGTCTCAACATTTTTACATTAGGATTTTTTTCTTCAAATTACTTCAGGAATCCGCCTTTGAGCGATAATGCGGTAGTGGTGGGACATCCTGTAAATGAATGCATTACATATTTATCCATAAAAGATTCAAATTACGGTCGTATTGAGTCAACATCGTCTACAATAACGGAGAGTGTATGGCGCTTGAGTGAATAATGTAAATAATAGATAATGTAAATAGTAGAATAGTGTAATAATGAAAGGCAGTAGAGCGCGGTACAGCGATACGTGAAGGACTTTCAATTATTTTAACGTGCGAGTGTGTCATACGTTATACGAAAGCTCGGAGACCAGTACTATGACAAGAGTATGAGGGGAGAATACGGGGCCAGATGGTATATTTCTCAGAATTTCGACATTACAACTTCTCAAGCAATTTATTGTTGTGATTGACTCCTCGCAACACGAGGAAGAAATTGAAGCCTACTCAGTCGCGATGAAAAGTACTGATGTCAAATTTTGCGACGCTCGAAAATGCACTTGGCTGCTTTTAAATTAGTTCTTCCTATTTCCGAGTTGTAATACTGTTCCGATTTTAACGAGACTTAGGAAGAAAGTATCTATGTTTTAAGAGAAACATTTTGCGATTTCGTTTCCGCTGTTGCTTTCGCGACGAATTAACACGGCATAAACAATACACGTGGTCGACGTACGACTTGGTTCAACTAGACGCGGTCTCGCTTAGCGATATATTCTATTGATTAAGAGTGCCTCTTTTTCATTTTCTTTCGGTGTTCGTTTCTCATGTAGTCTAGCGTGATTGCAACATACGGGCTAATGACCTCGGCAATTTAATAACCGTATTACTCGTCGTTCTACGTCCACTCACCGTCTCCGTGAGATACGATCGATCGCCGTCTGGCCAGCACTCTCTCTCGCCGACCTCACCCTCCTCCACGGTACGGTGAAATTTCATCTCGGGCTTTACGCCATACTGCCAAATAGTGCAACCCGACAACAAGTTTACGCATGGTTTTATAGCGCGCGCGCGCGCGCTAGCTCGCTCTCGCGGACGAGCGAAAAATATTCATTCGTACGTCAAGCTGTCGGAGCAGGGACGATCGATCGCCAAGGTATTCTCCAAAGCAATCTTACCAGACGACAAATGAACCCGATCGCCGATCTCATCAAATGCAAAAGAGCGCCACAGGCAAAACGCGCAGAAGCACATTTTTGCGTGAAACCATTAAGCGGATACTGCGAATTCCGCGCGAGTAATTTCGCCGAGAGTAATTTCGCCGTTTTTATCACTCTCGGCGAACCCATTTTCGCCCGGGAATACAAATGGGCCACGTTCGATGGATTAATCGCGTGTCAGAGAGCGGCGTGACTTCAACGGTAAATTCGACTTCGCGTCGTTCGCGCGCGACTTCGACTTGGAGAAACTGATAAATTATATATCATAGAATTATACGAAAATTTATGAACTGGCGGATGCCGTGCATCGTTTGATCGAGCGCCAAAGATCCGAGTCAAGATATCTCGCGCAAATGCGCGGGATCACTTGGTATCGATTCGGTGTTAATGACGACAGCCGATCCGCCGAGGTATTCGTTAACGAAATAAAAGCGCGCTGAAAAGCCGGAATAATATTTCCCTTCCATCTTACGCTAATGAATCAGATGAATGTCCCAATTAGTGACAATTACACCTGTTTTCCTTAATAAATTAGCTGATACGAATCTATTATCATTCTAAGAAATATATTCTTACTCTAAATTTGAAGTGTAACCTGTTGCAATAAGTTTCCAATAAAACTAAAATGTATAATAAATCCTGGATATT